AGTACTGCAAAACAGTCACATATAGGACAGACCGGCAGAAATTTAATCACTAGACTAACTGAGCAGAAGAGATGTCTTAAAATGCACTCAAGAGTTCAGTTACTGCTTCCACCGTATTAAGATTCACGTGCATTATATTAACTTTATATATACCTGGAGGGAGTTTCGGGTATCAACGCCCCCACGTACCTGTCTGTGACTGGAGCTAGACCAGCTCTCAACATCCCACAAGGCCAGTAAAGACCTCAAGTTATTACGACTCTCGTTCTGAAACCACATGTTCCTGCACCTTACTTAGTCTCAGTATCTGCCTTAGTTCCTGCACTTGATTTAAGTTCTATATCTAGTTCCTGAATTTTCCTTAGAGCAGATGTCTGCATTTGTATATAAGTTGTTAGTCTGACATTTTAGTCAGGTAAGGAGGACCTCTGTGTGATTCCGATATTTTCAATATTCGTTCATATTTTTGCTTTATTTCCTTCACGGTCGATCGTGTGCTTATATATTGTAATCATGTGAGCTTACGAAACTAAGTCTGTAGTGTTGTGAGGACTACTTGATACCCACTACACCGTGGTCTCTAGTGTAGTCAGGACTACTTGACACCCACTACACTACACCGTGGTCTATAGTGTTGTCAGGACCACTTGATACCCACTACACCGTGGTCTCTAGTGTAGTCAGGACTACTTGACACCCACTACACTACACCGTGGTCTCTAGAGTAGTCAGGACTACTTGACACCCACTACACTACACCGTGGTCTATAGTGTTGTCAGGATTACTTGATACCCACTACACTACACCATGGTCTATAGTGTTGTCAGGATTACTTGATATCCACTACACTACACCATGGTCTATAGTGTTGTCAGGACTACTTGATACCCACTACACTACACCGTGGTCTATTGTGTTGTCAGGATTACTTGACACTCATTACACCATGGTCTATAGTGTTGTCAGGACTACTTGATACCCACTACACCGTGGTCTCTAGTGTTGTCAGGACTACTTGATACCCACTACACTACACCATGGTCTATAGTGTTGTCAGGATTACTTGACACCCATTATACCATGGTCTCTAGTGTTGTCAGGACTACTTGATACCCACTACACCATGGTCTCTAGTGTTGTCAGGATTACTTGACACCCACCGCACCGCGATCTATAGTGCTGTCAGGACCACTTGATATCTACTACACCGTTGCCTATTCGTTACCCAGTGGACTGTGCTTGAAGGAATAATGGAATAGGCACCCACCCACAGCTACTCATTTATCAGTCCAACCTGTGTTTACAGCTGTCGAAATGTCTCCCCCAATGACGCTGCTTGGTAACTTGTCGCTCATCTACAACTCAGTTACCAAACCACTTCTTCCCTATATCTGTTGCTGCCAATCCTGTCTTGTTTAGATATTTTAACTAATTTAATTTTATCTTTATTAATTCCTGTTTTCCATTCGTACACTTCGGTCATATCCCTTAATTCTATAACTTTCCAGAGAATGCAAATTCAATGCCCTCAGCTTATCTTCGTAAGAAAGGTCTCTGATACATTAGATTAACTCCGTCATCTTCCTCTGTATATTTTCCAGCGCATTAGTATCTAGTAACATGAAGACCACAAATGGTTAACATAACCTTAGAATAACCTTAAGACTTCTATTATTTATACCTCTGACGCCAAAGAATTTACCTTTTGTATTGCTAATTTGTTGGTAATTTTTAATTTCCCAGTCTATTGATTCGGATATTTTTCTAAAAGTAACATATAATTAGTTTCTCTTTTATTTTTGAGACGAGTGTCTAGGTGAAAATTATTTTTGCCTTTATTAACCTGGTGATCAAGATAGAATTAGCCAAAGATGGCGATTATTTTTTTCTTTTATGTTGTTCAGCATGATAGAGTCAGGAGTCAGAAATTAAGTTAGGTTAGGTTAGGTTAGGTTAGGTTCGTATGCTGATTGTTTTATCAAAACATTGCAGTCCTTGGGGATATTTGTGGTGATTCAAAGATTAATTTTGTACTCGTGTGGAAGAGGATATGAACATCAATATAGTTATTGCGAGGGAAGTGACTGCATCATCGACATTTTGATGTCTGTTAGTTTAACCTGGAGTATACCTGGAGAGGGTTTCGGTGGGGGTCAACGCCCCCGCGGCCAGGTGTGTGATCAGGCCTCCTGCTCCATCTGTGCACAACACCCCGTGTCGATATAAATCACCATCATAACACCCCGGGAAAACAATTCACTCTGAACCACCCTGTCTTTCTTTAAATCACGTACACATACATTAACCCAGTGCTACTATGAACCTCCACTTACACATTACACTAATTCGGTGTTTCCATGAACCACTTACACACTATACCAGCCCAGTGTTGCCATGAACCACTTACACACAGTGTTTCCAAGAGCCACTTACACACTACATCAACGCAGTGTTACTATAAACCGCTTAAAGACAGACAACAATTGTCCTAATTAAACAGCCTCACGCTTTGCACGCACCCAGTGTCCCAGTAAACTTGCCTCACACTCTACGGAACTCGCCACCCAGTTTTCCATTTCACTGCCCACGAGCACACACACTCCCAAGCACCATCACCAACTAGATGATTTCTGTCTCTGTCTCTCTCTCCCTCTTTCTCTGTCTCTCTCTCTCTCTGTCTCTGTCTCTCTCTCTGTCTCTGTCTGTCTGTCTGTCTGTCTGTCTCTCTCTCTCTCTCTCTCTCTCTCTCTCTCTCTCTCTCTCTCTCTCTCTATTGTTACATTTGGAGAGCTGTAACGCTCCTGCCTTTCAACAACTTTGGCCAGCTCGAATTTCTTAGACAGTTCTCGTTGCTGGCGGTCACTTACAATGTGTTTGGATCTCACAACATTTGCTTCGGTGCCAGTGACCAAATGTTTCAAATATATGTCATTCATAATTCCCCATCCCCTCCCGGCTGTGTTATTTAGAGTACAGCTAAGTTTTAGTAAGCCTCCAACAACCTACCTTTTTCATTCATAGCATCCCTCCAACAACCTACGTTTCCTAAACAAAATAAGTTAATCTCCAGTTCTTCACCTGAATCTAGAGCAGTATAATGTACAACATTAGCTACTAGACAGGCATAGGTTTATCATGTGACTCTGCTGCTCCCCTTCTAGAGCCTAAACTTTTTGGATCAAGAGCCCTTCACCGGCATCAAGGTATACCCTTGGAAGGATTGCAGTGAAAAAGAACAGGCGAAGATCGTGGATACTGGTGTTTGATGAACGTGATGTGAATGACTGGTCGTTTGTTTGTCATGATGGCAGTGGAGGCACTGAATGAACTGACCAAGTTGCTTGTCAAACAGTGAGAAAGACTGCAGTGAAACCTCATTACGATGTTTCGTTCAGGACAAGAGGACTAAAAGCCAGTACTAAGCGTAAGGTTGTATTAAACCTTTTGCGGCACACAGTGATTTTTCTCACCGAACGGACTAAGCTTGGCTTTTCTTAATATATTTATATGTTGCATGGACGTAAAGTTAAGTCTAGATCCCATCTACTTCAAAGTTACGTCTGGATTCCATCTACTTCAAAGTTACTTCTAAGTCCCATCTACTCTCTCTAGCATTTGCTTTCATGGTGTGTTTGTGCCTCTGCTTCTCTGAACTTCCTCACAAACTTTTACCAGTGTCAGCAGCAACTGGATCTTTTCTTGTCATTATCACCCTCCTTTATCCACCCCTCACAATCTTCCAAGCTCACCACCCCTGACAATCTTACCAAATCTCCATCTCTCCCAGCACTCCCAGCTCCCCACCCCTTCCAGCACTCCCAGCTCCCCACCCCTTCCAGCACCCCACCCTTTCCAGCACTCCCAGCTCCCCACCCCTTCCAGCACTCCCAGCTCCCCACCCCTTCCAGCACTCCCAGCTCCCCATCCCTTCCAGCACTCCCAGCTCTCCACCCCTTCCAGCACTCCCAGCACTCCCAGCTCCCCACCCCTCCCAGCTCCTTCACCCACCCCTTCTCCTCTACGTCATTTACTTCATTAATTATTAAACACTAAAAGCTAAGACTACATCTCACTTACTGTAATTACATTCCAAAGTTCCTAATTAACAAAATAAGTCCACCTAAAATAAAAAAAAAACTGCAAACACTTTCAAATATAAATAACAACAATGGTTCTGGAGGTAAAAATTAGGCTAAAAAATTTTTTTTTGACAGTTCGTCCCAGTGGCAGTCCTCATAACATTACACACACCTAGCTAGTACTATATTGCTCATACCACAGGCGGCCCATGAACTCAGCCTTCACATTACACTGTCGCATTTAGCCCCGTCAAAGATGCATCTGCCTTTGACAGCTTGTTTCCTATAGTAACTCTGGAGCAGTAAAGTGAAGTCAATCCTTGTCAATGGAAGGATAAATCCCCCGGCAGATAAGAGGATCTCAGTTGCAAGTCGAAATGGACAGATATTTTCCCCCTCCCCCCGACTTCTGTGTCTCTGTCTACACGCGACTTCCGTCTTCGATTTTAGTTGATGTTGATATTAGTTGATGGTAAAGGTTACGAAGTCACAGCCAGTATACCACACACACACACATATATATATATATATATATATATATATATATATATATATATATATATATATATATATATATATATATTATATATATATCTCTGGCAACGAATACAATATTTAGTTTCGTGAATTACCTCAGTCAATAGAAGGCCAAATATTGAAGAAAACCTGAATGGCAATAAAGACTCTCGCTTCTTTCTCTTTCATTCTGGTATAGTCTGCGTTGCCAAATTTAGCCACCTATACTGTGTGTTGTGGTTTGTAAGAGTGGGCGTGTGTGGCGCGGGCGTGTGTATGTGTGTGTATGTGTGTGTGTGTATGTGTGTGTGTGTATGTGTGGCGCGGGCGTGCGTGAGAGCCTAGATCAATGTTGCGCAGGAGCGCCCTCCCCCGCGCATAATAGTGGACGCCGCCATATTGATCGAGGCGGCCGTGGCCAGAGCCGTGGACGAGGTGGTGGCAGCCGCTGCTCCGTACCTCCAGCCCAGCCTCACCCCCGACACACACACACACACACACTCAGTGTCCTGCGCCCCTCCCCCAGCCCGTGCTACACTGTGATGTTTGTTACCCAAAGAGTAAAGAACAGATAAAGATTTAGTGACGATGTTCAGTTTCGCCAACAAGATGCTGAACGCCCTCGTGGGCAACGAAGAACCCACGTCCGGTACCGCTGGTGGAACCAGTGTGCCGGGGGCGCCGCGCCCCCAGGGCCCTGGGCTCCTTCGGATGGGTGCTCCAGGGGGCCCTCGTGCTCCAGTGCCGGGCATGCCAGGGTCCAGACCTCCTGGACCTACAGGAAGTATGGGACCAGGACCTGGAGGACCAATGGGTCCTGGACAGATGGGTCCTGGCGGTCCCATGGGTCCAGGTGGTCCTATGGGTCCTGGCGGTCCAATGGGTCCAGGTGGTCCTATGGGTCCAGGTGGTGTTAGAGGACCGAGTGTTTCAATGGGTCAAGGTGGTGCCATGGGTCCTGGTGGTGCCATGGGCCCTGGTGGTGCCATGGGTCCTGGTGGTGCCATGGGCCCTGGTGGTGCGACAATGCCTGGTGGACCAGGTGGACCTATTGGTGTTAATGGCCCTGGTGGACCAGGCATGAGCCGTCCACCAGGACCAGGCATGGGTCCCAGGCCTCCAGGAATGGGCGGGCCAATGGGTCCCAGACCCGGCATGCGACCGGGCCCTAGAGGAATGCCCCCTGGGATGGGCCCAGGGGGGCCTCGGGGCATGCCGCCAGGAATGGGTCTCCGTCCAGGAATGGGCCCTCTCGGACCACGTGGGTTACCCATAAATGGAATGGGCGGGCCCCGTGGTCCAAGACCTGGAATGATGGGCCCCGCTGGAAGTCGAGGAGCAGCGCCTGGTCCAGGAGCAATGGGACCAACTGGTCCTGGAGGACCACCCACCCCAGGAATTATGGGTAAGTTTATAGTCTCATTGCACACTTCATTAGCCTTTTAGAAAGATCAGACTTTGTGAGGTCTGAAACCCAAACCTCATGAAGTCTGAAGCTCAGACCTCGTGAAGTTTGAAGACCAGACCTCGTGAAGTCTGAAACCCAGACCTTATGAAATCTGAAGCCCAGATCTCGTGAAGTCTAAAACCCAGACGTCATGAAGTCTGAAAACCAGACCTCATGAAGTCTGAAGGCCAGACTTCATGAAGTCTGAAGGCCAGACTTCATGAAGTCTGAAGACCAGACCACGTGAAGTATAAATATTCATTTATTTGTTTCCAATATTTCTCTCGGATTATATGTGTACATAATTTGTCCTGATCAACCAAACCCACATTCAGACAAAATTTTGAAGGTCACTTGATGCCAAGAACTGAAGTTAAACTTTTTTCCTCTGATCAAATTTGATTTCCTTGGTGCTGTGTTAACCATAGTGGTTATACAACAACATTAATAATAATAATAATAATAATAATAATAATAATAATAATAATAATAATAATAATAATAATAATAAAATAATAATAATAATAATAATAATAATAATAATAATAATAATAATAATAATAATAATAATAATAATAATAATAATAATAATAATGAAAATAATATATATAGTAAAATTAGTTGATTATTGTGTACATAGACCCCTAAGAGAGTTTCAGATATACTAACTTCGTCTTGCTTCAGTATCTCCATGTGGGTTTTTTTGTTACACTGATCACACTGTATTACACTGGTGTGTTTTGACAAAGCTATGTTGTAAGCATTTCATATATTGATATGAACTTCCTTCTTGATCCCGTGGAAATATATTTGTTTTGAAGTTTGGTGATGGGATCAAAGAGAAGGTTCGCTTTACTGTGGCGATTCTCACTGTTTGTTCCGCCTCATAATTTGGCACCTTGTAGAGTATTCTAAGACTTGAGTGATGCTACCCGATGTTTGCCACACATAGGCAGGCTACCTTAGACAATATGTAGTAACTTTGTGATTTTGTTATGATACCCACTGCCTGTCATACATGAGTCGAGTGCCTGGTACCACATTTAACTTAGCACTTTGTCATGATAATGCTTGTCACACACAAAGGGATGACCTGGTACAATATTTCCTAACCTAACACTTGTGTGGGGATTCTCACTGCCTCTTATATCTCAGTATCTGTTCACACTATGTTTACAGAGTCATTCGTCCTTATATAAGTTTCTAAACCTTCTATAGTGTGCTGTCAATGCTTATCAAACATCTTTGATGATAGATTTTTCTTATATAAATCTAGACGTTTCTGTTTTCGGTTCGGTTACTGTTTAGTTTTAGGTATTTTTCTAATTTTTGGTGTACGATTTCGGCAGTGCAATTTTTTTTATGTGGAGAGTGAGTCCGTCATCGCACTAAACCAGTTTCCCCTAGTTTGTTTCTCGGATGTCACTATTTTGCATGCTTCAAAATTTTCTGTGCTTCATATCTAGAGGCAGCTTCATCAATGCCTCCCTGTTCCATACACTGTAACCCTTTTTATGGTAGTAATACCATAAATTCTCACCGTTGCGGAGGAAGTTTTGACACCCTGGGCTAGATTGCATTTATTTTGGCGAAGGTAGTTGTCGGCATATATAGGTTTAATTATTTTCAGGAATAACCAGTGGTAGAGGCGGTGATATTTTATTTGTCAGAAATCTGATAACTTCTTTTGACGTGGTTCTTAGTTTTATGATGGCCCACTTAGTGGAGCCTGTGGACGCTTGGCAGTAGACTTCCGCTGGCTGATCTGTCTAGCCAGGAAATTTTCACTGCATATGAGAAAACAAAGGAGTCACACAACAGCATCCTATCCCACGGTAGTCTGCCTGGTGCTCACCAATTATTTTCCACGTTATAAACGTCAGTTGTCCTTACCTCCTTCACTTCATTTGCATAAGTTAAAACTAGGCACGGACGCTCGTATGTATTCACGAACAAGCTGTACATTCAGCCTCTTAGTGAGAGGGGATAAGGAAAAGAAAATAAATATTCAACCTCTGTAGTGTGCCTTGGACTGTGTTTCCACTTTCCTCAACCTTCTACAGACATGCTGCGAAATGCTGCTGAAGACCTCATCCAGAGAACCTCCCAATTTTCCCAGGGTTGCACGACTTTTTACGGGTTTTCTGCTTTCCCACGAACATAATCGTAATTTCTTTCTTCGCACATCTCACACTAAACCTTTCCTGTAACAGTACCATTAATCACACACCTCTCATTAAACTGTCTATGTTGTACTTCATTTGAAAATATGTGAATTCATGAAGGTAAAACTATGGGGTACTTACCTATTAGCATAACTTGTGAATGATATTGACAGCTTAGGCAGAGCAAGTTACTTCTCGATCGACAGCAACTTGCTCTGTTTGAGCTGTCAGGATCACTAACATGTTATACTAATGGGTACAGGATCCCATACTTTCTAAAGCTAGTTTATTGTCAAGCTTTGAACTTTACATACGGCGAGAACCTATTACATTATCTCTGATTAATGTGTTTTGGTCTAGTGTGAGAAAAACATCGACCTGGTTATATACTGATGTGTTCAACACGTATTCCAACCAATGGCTTTATGGTATAGCTTAAGTTGGAATGAATGGTTATTTTCAACTTATTCACCTTGTGTTCATAGCCCTTCCTATGTCTTAATGTGAAGACCAAGACACAAGTTCCAAAACCAGATTTTATTGGGACAACATTTTACTGGGTGGAGAACTTTTCTAATTCGCAACTTAAAAAGGCTCTACACAGAACAAAACGTTTCTCCCAATAAAAGCCTGCTCTACAATTTGTGTATTGTCTTCATACGCTGTTTCATCTTTCTCTCGTGTAAATAGTGCATTTTAGGGCCACTACAACATAGAATCCCCAAGTTATATTCTCTAGTCTTCCTAACATAGTTTTAGCATCAAATCAGCTTCCACATCGTTCTTCCGAATACACACATATATATATATATATATATATATATATATATATATATATATATATATATATATATATATATATATATATATATATATATATATATATATATATATATATATATATATATATATATATATATATATATATATATAAATATATATAATAATAATAATAATAATAATAATAAATACATAGTCACCTGAGCATGACTCCTACATAAAGTGCTCACCCGTTGTATTCCTTCCACGTTTCTGCCTCACATAACATAATAGTAAACTCTAAATTTTATTTTACTGCTGGAGCTCTACCATTTCCGTGTGTCCAGGAGTCTACTTGTGTTGCCTCGCATGTGCTCCATTCCTCGCTTCCACAACATCAACATTTTCCTATTTTTTTTCTTGTGAACCACATTCTCAACAGTCATCGACTTTCAGTCATGTTTTTCACCTCACCATTCACAACCTTCCCTATTAATGCTTAATAACACAATACTTTTATTTTGAACCCCCGTTGTTGTTGTTTTTTTTACTAATTTTGTTTAGCTATGCTAATCTACATGGGAAAGAATTTACGTTACTTAACACTGAATTTTGAATTTCCTATAAATTGGGTAAATAAATTAACATGCATTTCACTAATAAGATTTAATGTATTAATACATTTCAACAGCAGCAAAAAAAAGTCTATAAATGGCATATAATATGACTTCAAATTTTCGTATTCACCTGTTGCTTGGGTAATTGCGTGAAAGCTCAAAATCTATATTTACGCCATGGGCTTTTACCAAGTTTGGTAAACCTTGTAACGTTACTAACGAGTGTTAAGTAGTTCAGTCCCTCGTCACAACGTATGGCAGTGTTACAATGGTGTACCATATATGATAATTTAGTTGTAAATTGTGCAAAATGTAGCTGTGTATGACAACTCCAGGTTTGCTGTAGGCCACATCCTGGGTACAATGTTAATGTGTAAGAAGTCTCATTCTGGATAAAATATCACCCTGTAAGATAACTTCACTCCTGCTGGAAGTCATTCCCTGGATATAGTGCAGATGTTTAAGAAAGCTCGAGACCTCTTCAAGGTATACCCTGGGCAAACAGCACACTTCCAATATGCAAGACAACTCCAGATGTCGGATGTTGTATCATTTTCACCTTCTCTTCGTGTTTCCATTCGTATACTCGCATATTCGTTCCTGTTTTTCTGCATATTTTCCTGTTTTCTATTGTTTATTGTACTCGGTAACACTTCCCCGCCCTCTAGCACCTTCACTTGGATTTTCTACATTCCTGTTTTTTTCTTTTTCTCTTATTTCTTTTCTTACTCGACAAGAATCTTTTGCCTCTTGACACTATAGTTATTACCTCCATCGTCTCTTGTATTGCTTATTGCTTTATTGTCCAGTTCACTTTGTGTGTGTGTGTGTGTGTGTGTGTGTGTGTGTGTGTGTGTGTGTGTGTGTGTGTGTGTGTGTGTGTGTGTGTGTGTGTGTGTGTGTGTGTGTGTACGTGTACTCACCTAATTGTGCTCACCTAATTGTGGTTGCAGGGGTTAAGACTCAGCTCCTGGCCCCACTTCTTCACTGGTCGCTACTAGGTCCTCTCCCTCCCTGCTCCATGAGCGTTATCATACCTCCTCTTAAAACTATGTACGGTTCCTGCCTCCACTACATCACTTGCCAGACTATTCTACTTCCTGACAACTCTATGACTGAAGAAATACTTCCTAACATCCCTTGACTCATCTGAATCTTCGACTTCCAATTGTGACCCCTTTTTTCTGTGTCCCATCTCTGGAACATCCTGTCTCTATCCACCTTATCTATTCTTCGCAGTATTTTGTATGTCGTTATCATATCTCCCCTAACCCTCCTGTCCTCCAGTGTCGTCAGGCCGATATCCCTTAACCTTTCTTCGAAGACATTCCCCTTAGATCTGGAACCAACTTGTTGCAAACCTTTACACTTTATCTAATTTTTTGACGTGCTTGACCAGGTGTGGGTTCCAAACTGG